ATATATCTACTTAGTAACCCGCATTTCTGTAACTAAACCTGCAAAGTGAACATTGGCTCCTTTAGACATATAAAAGAACTATGCCTATAAATTCTAAGGTGCTTGAAAATACGCCCAATTCTTGGTTTTCTGATCAAACCTATTCTTTCTCAAATACCCATCTTCAAAAAAATATTTAAACCAGTTTCTATTCAATGTGATTTTTTGATTGGTTACTTATATTTGGCTGCATAAAGCTGTGTTCTCTACAATGTATTATTACAACTATATTAAATTCCAACAAAATTTTGAGGTTATGGCGCTAAGTGTAATTTATCATTCTGAATCTACGTATAATCCAGACTCTAAAACTTCAATTTATAGATGAACACAATTCATGTACAAGTTAGTGCCGTCTTTCCTTTTTATTCCATAATGCTACAATATCAAAGAAAGGTACAGACATAGCACAAGAATAGCTACTGAGGTATTAAAAAATTAAAATATTTACTTGTTTTCATCCCATTCTCTTTAATTTCTGTTTTCATATTTCTTTCACAATATATCTGTATATCAGTATACAATATATTTGCATATCAATACATACAGTTTTGAAAAGAAATTCTTTTGGATGAATACTCAATCCTATTTTTTATTAATTGAGACATGTAATAAAAATTTTGGAATTCACTAATAGAGAGTATCTGTGCAATGATTTAAGTTTGAGACTTGAAAAACAAGATTTTTAAAATCACTTTACTAAGAAAAAAACTTTAAATATTAATATAACATATCATTTTTAGATAAATGTCTCAAACAGCAATTCTCAACTAGCATTAAGGAATACTTGGACTTTGTTGAAAATGTAGATTCTTGAGTTTGCACTCAGAGAGTCTGACTCAAAGTCCAAGATGGAGTCATGAATGCCAGTGGCCCTGACAGATTAGAATAACAAAGCTTCTCTATCTCAACACTACTGATCATCTGGGCCTAAAAAGTCACTGATGGGGAAGGGGGGGCGGCTTTCCTTTCCTATGCATTGGAAGATGTCCACCATTACCCATGACCTCTACCAGCAGGTGCTGGGGCACATTCCCTCCCCGTTAGACCACCAGACTGTCTCCAGACACTGTGCAGTATCTCCTGGTGGGCAGAAGCATCCCCAGATGAGGGTTGAGAATAAGAGATAGCAATAGTCCGAAGATAACACACTTTAAGAAATACCATACTAATCAAAGGATAAAGTAATGTGATAAAAGTAAAAGAATATGAGTATTAGAGTCATACATTCCATAAAATGGAATAAACAAGCTTCCCATAGAGGAATTCTGATTAGCCATTATAAACTCCTGACAACTCAGCTAAGCTTCTAAGTCAAAGCTCTTCTTATGTAATTTAAACTTGAAGATTTTCTCCCTAGCTTCTATTTTAAATTATTTTTAATTAACTTCACTGGCATTTTGCATCCTGCTATGAAAAGTCAGCCTAATAGTCTCAGAGGACTCTCCCCAGAGAAAAGAGTGCATTAAATCACACATTATCACATTAAAGTATATTCCAGCACTCACAGTCCAACAGACTAACTCTTAGCAAATGCAGAGGGGTGGGGGTGGTGGGGAGGTGTAGGGAGGGAGAACAGGCTCAAGTGATTCACAATATCCAAAGCCTATTATCTTCGATTCATCCATCTGTATGAAAAAGTGGTATTGATTTCCTACTTCAACCACACTTATCACAATGACATATATTTTATAATTTGTGTACCCTGACTTCCGCTCACTGTGTATGAGACCTTGTGTATGTCACTTAAATTCTTCTGATGTCCTATCTAAAAATTAAGTTGTACTTAATTATCTAAAATTCTCTTTAATTACACCTAGCGAATTTGCGAATGAAGCATTTCATTGAAAGATTCTTTCTACTATACGGATTCTAGTAACTATTGCAACAGAAAGGAAATGCCTACATTGTTAGTGTTGTTTGCTAATACAATAATTTAAGATACTTAATGCAAAAAAGGAAAGAAAGAAAATGACAGGTGAAGAATTATTGTATAAAAGATCTATTTTCTCTTAATAACTGAGGCCCAAGTTGACCCTCACCTAGCAAGACACTTACATAGGAATACATGAAAAGGCAAATTAAATCAATCTTTCACAAGTTAATCATAACCAGGGAAAGTTTTAAATCATACACTTGCCTTCTGTTTTCTATAATGCAAACTAGCTGTTTAGAGGTTATTTTCAGCTCACAGGTGTGGTTGTTTTGTTTGGCCTGGACAAAAAAATCATACTAGATAGCTGCCAACTTTCAAGAACAGAAAAATGATATGCAAAAATTCATATTTCCAGTCTATCTTGACATACTGGAAGGTATTAAAGGAGCTGAAACTGAAAAAGTACTGCCTGCTGCCTTGAGCTCTCTGTGATCTGCAATCCCCACTGCTCCCTGCCTGCTACCACTTGTTTTGGTTCCCTCTCTTGGTTCCTTTATAAGCCCAGTGCTTATGAGCTCATGTTCCTGCTCCCTGGCAGTTTTCAAAATACATACAAATGCCATTTCAATGCCTTCAAAACAATAGCATATAGCTTACAGAATCACAGCAAAACGGCAAAAGTTTTAAAGAGACAGCTCTGTATTCAATAAGGAAAACCTCGTAACACTGAATGCTGATTAGAATGGGCTATTCTACAGGTTTCTAACCAACCTCCTGAAGAACCTAGAAGGGACACTAAGTTTGATGGAGAGTTAAGATTAGAGACTCCTTTAAATTATTTTCCAATTTAAGGTTTGATGCCTTTGGTTCACAGTATAGACAGCCACACAACACTATTTTAATATATAAAATACTTAAATCAGGTTTCAATTAATTAAGAAGTCACATTCTATCAGAGAATTATCAAATTACTGTATTCTGGAAATATGATAAAGAATCCAGGGGCAGAAGGAAACAATAAAAGAACTTGAGGAAGAGCTTACAAGAACAGAGATAGCAGTTTCTTCACACTACCTTAATTTATGAAATGAACTTAACCATTGGAAGCTTTTTCCCTCCCCACTCCAAAAGAAAGTTGTTTTTTTTTTTTTAATACAGCTTGCAGAGTCTATTTGAAATAAAATTTTAACAAGATTTTAAGGCTTTAAAAACTCAAACTCATTTACAATTAAAGTGATGTCTATTTAAAGGATATTTTGAATTAAAATTGAACTAATAAGGGGCTCTCCCTGGTGGTACAACAGGTTAAAGTACCAATTATGAAGCTATCCAAAGCCACTGCAGCACGAGTTCAATCTCTGACCAAGGAGGTGACCCACATGGCGTGGCAGACTGCTGCTCCCCTCAGCAGTGTACTTCATCAGTCTGCCTGTTCTGCTCCCCACTCTGTCTCTGGTGAAGCCTCTCACCACTCCCGCACCTCTGGCCTGTACCCCAGTTCTGTAAGCATAAATAAATCAATCTTTAAAAAAAGAAAAAAAAATTGAGTAAGAAAGCAACATGAAACTAATATTGCTAAGGCTAAGTCAATTTTCAGTAAAATATAACTGAAAAATAAGAGTTTCCATTACCACACTAATAATGGATATCCTGGATGCAGCTACTCTGTACTCCAGACCTTTCTAGAGGCCCTGCTTCCTAAAATAAGGTCACATGGGGCCTTATATCCTAGCATCACACGAGTGCTCAAAGGCTATGAGTGCTTCTACACAAAGTTTAAAAATGCATAGTATTGAAGTTGAATTTTGTAAAATTCAACTACTTGTAAATCAATTGCTTTTCCTATGTGTGATGTCAATCTTTAAACGTAAGCACTGCTTAAGGATAGTGCTCAGCTCTAGTGACTGAAACAGCACATCACTGGGTCCACAGGCATGCCTAAGGACAGGGACAGGGTGCTGGGCATAATGGAGAGCAGAACAAGGGCTGCTTCTGGGGAAACATGCTTATCGTTCTAGTTCTGATTTTCTGTGTTAAAAAAAAAAATGACACACTGTTTAAAAGTAAAATGCGATGATAAACATAATTAATTGAACAGCCCTGAATGCCAGAACAATTTAATTTAGTCATGGAAGTTATCTGCTTTGAAACTTGGTTCAGACTGTGGGTTCAGCCTTATTTTCCACAGTCTTAAAAAAAAATCTCAAAAGCCTACTACATTGTTAAGGGGGAAGGGAAAGAGAAGGCATGAGATATGCTTAAAATTAAGACTATAAGGTAGGTTTATGAGTCCTGGAAAAATACTTAATGACATATCAGTGTCAGAACTTTAAAATAGGAACCGTCCTATGGCATTAGAGGAAAATGTATCAGATCAAGGTCATGGTTCCACCATCAATGAAAACTCGAAAAAAATGTTACCTTCAAGAGAAGAAAGGTATTGTCTGGCTTGTTTATAAGCTTGTTATGGAAGTTTCCCAGAATTAAAGAGTACTGACTTTATAGACTACATGTTTACACGTTGGAAGAACACAAAGAAACTAATTCATGCTTGGAAGGGGTTTCTTTCAAAGCATATTTGTTTCAAAACAGAAGTTGTTGAAAGTATACGCATGAACCATTTCTAAAACTAGTGGTCACAGAAACTTGGATTATCAACCTAACTGCAAAGTACACAAGAAACAGAGAGACAAACTGAGTGCGGGCTTGTTCAGAAAGCAGGAACAACACTGGAGCTGATGAAGACCGAAGACGAGGAGAGTCACGTCTGAATATACACGTTTGGGCCTTAGGCTCCTAAAGCATATGCTTAAGAAATAATCCTGTCATCCTGTTTCTCGGCAGCCAAAGGAAGGGGGAGTGGAGAGACTAGAGGATACCGCCCTCTTATCCGGTTGTTGATCCACAGCAGGAATCCTGTAAAACTTGCTAGAGTAAAGCTAACTATGCAAAAGTTCACTCAACAACGTAGGAAAATCCATTCTCACTCACTCACTCACTTACTTTCCCGCCCCCACCAGAAAAAACGTGAAAGAAATTCTAAAATGCAACAACAAAAAAGCTTGCAGTACAAGCGTGCACTCACCCTGGGCCGGGGCGCGCGGCCAGCCGCCACCCTCCTCGGCCGCGCAGTGCGGCCCCGCCGGCCCAGCAGCTAGTGCTTCTCCCGCGCTGGACATGGGCCGCTCCTAGCCGCGCCGCCGCCTCGCTCGCTGCCCCGTGGGGCGAACGTGCTAAGGGCAGTTAGGTGTTGGGCTCTGGGAACTGACGGCTTCTGGTGGAAAAATTAAAAAAGTGTTTTTGGAGAAGAGCTTGGCACCCCTGCGGGACATTCCCTCCCCTTCCACGTCCCTCCCCCTAAACCCCACCCTGGTAAGTTTTGATTTGAAATCCGATGAAAACTGTTACCCTTGACTGCAGTGGAGTCCCTCAGGTCAGAAGAGGGCAGAAGGGAGGGGCAGCAGGGGTGACGGGAAAGGGGGTTAGATTTAGAAGTTACTGGAAAGGGCTCAAATCTTTCCTCCGCCCAAGAGCCCACCACCTACCTCCGCATGCCCCCACCACGCTCAAACCTCTTCCTCCTCCTCTTCCGCCCCGGGAAAGTTAGTAAGGCACTAGCAGCGGCGGCATCTCGCCCGCCTGGTGCCCTGACTGTGTCGGCCGCCCCGTGAGTCCCTCCCCGCCTCCCTCTGCTTCTGCCCAGACTCCCCGCAGCAGTGGCTAGAGCAGCTCCGCTGACTGAGCTCTCCGCCCCCTCTTTCCAGCCAGCTCCCTCCAAGGGGGCTGTAACTCCTCTTCCTCTCTTCTCCTGCCACTACTCCTACACTCCAGAAACACTTCTTCCTCTGTTGCTCCTTTTCATCATATCCGGGTGCAGAAGCCTTGAACTCTCAGGGGGCAGCCGCTGACTGAGGCTGCGGGCTGGCGGTGCGACTGGGCTCAGCAGAGTCCTCCCTTGGCCTTCACCCCCGCGTTGTCTGGGTCAGGAGGCCAAAGCTGGACCGGGCAGGCACCCTGCCCAGAGCCTTCGCTAGGGATTGGGGAAAAGGAGGGAGTTAACTGGTCAGGGCAGCCCTGGCATCCCACTGCCCAGAGAGTTCCCTCCTATCTCTCAACTGCTTCCTAGTCCTGCCCCAGTTGAACTGAGGCTCTGGGAAGTCCTTTAGGGTTGGACTGTGCTTAATGAAACACTACACACTGTCCCCGTGGAATGGAGAAAGTGTGGGTTTAAAACTTAAAGAGTGTTTAATATCTTAAACACTGACTCCCAAATTACCTTATTCCATCTTTCAGTCTGGGCTTATTTTGATCAAACAGGAGCCCAGAGAGGGGAAAACCAGTTGCAGTTTCATGAATCCACTGAAGGCATTTGACCTGACCTCAAAGTTGATGGTCTGGGGGTGTGACCCAAGGCTTCTGTGGCAGATAAACTTGTGGTTGTAAGTCAGCTCTCCTTTTATAAGTTCAATTTTCTGATTGCAGCTTAATCTGATGAATCAAGAAGAAAAAGTATACAATTTGTAGATATTAAGTACTCTGATAGTACATTCTGATAACTTTTTGTTTCATTGTGGATAAAATGCAAAATTCGTTTGTTAAAGCTGAGTAAATCTCTAGAATAAGACAGGAATCACAATGTTATCCAAATTGGAAAAAAAATGGACATGGCTATATTTTCTGGCAGGAGTATCAATAATATTCAAGAAAGTTCATTTTAAAACAACTAAAATAGGATCTAAATGAAAAAAATTCATTTCTTATCTTTGAAGAGTACATACAAACAACATTTATTAATCTGTAAAACAACCTCTTCAAGTTTCTAATAACAGTTATTCAGATCATCCTTCCCTGCCCCCCAAGAAAACTCACATTTTGTTTCCTGTGAGTTACAGCTAACAAAAGGCTTTTTTTAACTTAGAAATTTCAGAAATGGTGTTTTAACTCTCCTGTAAACATCTCTTGGTCCTGGGTTATTTGGAATCTGCTTAGTGGGAACAGATCAGTACTTAGGGTGATGTCATTACCGTTACCATTTAGGAAGAGAATAAACATTTAGGAGGCATCACTGTCTACCACAGCATAGCCTGTAATCAAAGGTATGCATAGAAAACAACTTCTCTGATTCTATTTTGTTCCTTTATTATCTCATTGTTCCTTTTTAAAATTCCCCTCCCTAGTAAGATATTAAGCAGTTTCAGCATTCTTCCAGATGTTCGAGTGATAAATTTTTGTTAAATTAATTTCACCCAGTACTTATTACACACACACAAGAAGGGGATTCAACAAACATTCCTTGAGTTAAACTCCAACATCTTACTTTAAATGGAAAAGGAATAAAATTCAATACAAAATATCAGGAGCAAATGAGTTTGTGTGGTACAGTCTCCAAGATGATCCAGTGCTGCATCTCACTCAATTGTGTGACTTTGCAAGTCAATCAAACCTCTCTATGCTTTGTTATCTCACAAAGTGAGAAGAAGAGAAGTTCCTCATAGGGACTCATGAGGACTAAAGAGAATTATAGAATTTGGGAAAATATCAGATGTGGGAAAAGATACTCAAAAATAATCTTATACAAAAGCAGCACTTTGACGGCATACATTGAGCATCATATAATAACAATATCACAAAAGCCATATCAAAATACCAGGTAATAATGTCATAGATTTTATACAAATTATCTCAATGAGTCTACATCAGCCCTATCAGTAAAGATTACTTTAAGATTTGCGAAGATTACTTTAAGATTTAGAACTCAAGTCTGTCTGGTTGTAAGGCTATCCTGCTTGTTTAGGTAAACCAGATCTACCTGTGAGCACCTGAAAGTCCATAAGATTGGTATCTGAAACACCAGAATTAAGTGTGGGGTCTTAAGTGTCTCCCCCTAGCTGCTCATCTACCCCATCACTTGCTGTATTCATTCAGTTAATGTGGTCCCCAATGAATGGTATAGGACCTCATCCTCTCACTCTTTTATTCATTAAATATGAATGTGGACAGCACTGAGGATGCAGGAGTGAAGAGGACAGATGTGGCCGTGTCCAATAGGAGTCCACACTCTAGGAAGAAATATGGTCATATAACCACTTATAACAGTCCCCAAGTGGAATGGCAGGGGAAATTCTGGGATGCTAAGATAATATCTAACAGGGTCTTATACCCTGGTCCAGGAATCAGGGGAAAGTTCTGGGGAAAAAAGTCTTAGTTGTGACTGGAGGCAGTGAAAAGAGGAGGAAAAGACTGCTATAGGTAGGGATAGCAGGAGATGGGGGTGAAGACCCAAGTGTTTGTGGTCAACCAGCAATGCTGGAAAACTTGTAAGAAATTCAATATGAAGATAACCAAGTGTAAGGGGAACAGTGATGGGAAACGAAACAAGAGCAGGAGTCTTATTTTGATGGACCTGGGATGCCAGTCTCAACTTCAAACAAGGAGGATATAGTGTCACTCTGGTATAATGTGAAAAATGATCTAGAGACACTGAGATTATAGCTGGGAAATCCAATTAGGAGGCAAGGGATGATGCCAGCACTGAGAATGGAGTAGAAGAGAGAAGTGAAGGCTGACGGAGCTAAGGAAGTCAGGGGTTTCTTTCAGGTTTCTGCACCTAGATGATGGTGATAGAGCCACCTACAGAGAATGAAGCTTTTAGAAGCAGGTTAGGGAGAAAGCAGCTGAGTCAATCATGCAGATGATGTAGTGTCTGAGGCTAATTGAAACCACCCAGTAGGCTGCTGGATACGTGTCTGGATTATAAGCTCAGAGATGGTATTTCATGGCTAAAGGCTATGCAGGTCTACGGTGTGTCCTTACTGGCCCTTCTCCCCTTTTCCACATTCTTCCTAACTCCTTAATAGTATTACCTGCCTGGCTTTGAGAATCGCCATTATTTAGTGACTACTGCTATGGCCACTCAACTATCCCAGATGCCTCATGCTGTAGGAAGTATATGATGGTTTTTATTGTGAGATTTTGCCAGGCCTCACACTCTAGTAACTGGGGTGGGTAGAAACCTTTGTGGGGAGCAGTCTTCTATTGGAGATAAATGCTGAGCCCTGGCTCAAAGTATAGTTCAAGAGCATAGTTCAAGAGTACGTTGTATAATTTATAAATTAACATATCTTGGTTCATTCTCAAAGATACTTTACAATTTGCTTTATTTTTTTTAATTACTTAAGTGCTTTAAAACATTTAAGGTAATACATTTAATTATCTCAGATTGTCTGATGGTTAATTTTTCCAGAAAATTTATACCTTACCTTGTTTATATAGAGCTTGACTTGAGAATCTCTAAGCCCAAGGGTATAGCAACCTGGAAATACTAACCCTAAACCTCTAAATGCCAGAAATAACCTTCATAAACTTCAGACAGTGCCAGCACAAAAGACCATAGACTTTCTCAAGTCCTACTCATTTTTTGTGAACTCTAAACAGACTTATGTTGTTTTAGCACAGAGAAAATTTGGGGCACAGGGACTTTGAGGAAAAGAGATTAGCTAAGGGAGCTATTAGGTCAGAGAAAAATGACAGCAGAAGCAATGATAGCTGACAGACATGGAAGACACAGGAAAATAAACATGTCATAACAACGCCTTTGTGAATTCAGCTCAGTGAAACAGTGAATGTTCCTAATGAGGGCCTGAGTCATTAAGGAAGGAATCAGTTACATAGAGCTGGATTCTTTTTTTTTTTTTGGGAAAGCAGGACAGTATTTTTATATTTTAGGAAAAATTCCACCACAACAACAAAAAAAAGTCTCATAAAAAAATTATGCTACTTGAAAGAGCAACTTTCAGAGCAAGAAAATAAGCAATTACGGTTATTAATAAGGCCAATTTAACCTTATTTCTTCACTTCCTAGTGCTCTGTTCAAAGAGGAGAGGTTAAGGGGACAGATTTCTTGAACCTGATTCTTACTTCAAATAGAGCATTTCCTCCTTTTTCTCCAGAATGTATTGGTCCCCATAAAATTTTAACCAATTCGTCCACTTTTTAAATGCTTGATAAAAACTCAACTTGCCCAATAACTTCACTTAATAAGTTAATAAATGTAAAGACAAAGCTCACTCATGAGATTAAAAAAATATTGAGATTTTACTAAATGCTGAGTTACATATACTAGGCACTAAGAAATCAAAAATACAGTGAATATTGCTTTAGTCTTCTGGGAGCTCACAGTTTATAAGGCCAGGGGCGGGGAAGGAAGGAAGCAAAGTGGGAGAGAGACACTTATACAATAACCACTACAGAAGCACAAAGGAAGTAGCAGCTTACTGCCGTGGCGTAGGTGGGGAGTCAGGGATGTTTCAGAGAGATGATGACACCACACTAAATACGGCTGATGAGCAAAAAGCTCCCCTGTCAAAGAGCTTAGGGAATTCCAGATAGTGAAGAAAACACCTGCCAAGGCAAGAAGTGTGAAAGCCCCAGAGAAGTTAAATGACTTGGCAAAGGTCATTTAGTGGGTTCATTATAGAGTCAGCACTAAAAACCTAACTTTCTTGACATGCACGCTTCTTGCTCTAGTTCTCTGGATAATTCACATCCATAAATCCATCCTTTCTAAGTGACAGACAAGCAAGGGCACCCTGATCATAAATTTATGCCTTCCAAGGGTCTTCTGTTGTGACTGAGCAGCCAAAAACTGGTCTCAAAATCTCCTGTTGCTGGATTAACTTGACTGTCCTTCCTCTCTAGGCTGTCTCTGCCTTCTCAGCTCCTACTCAGGGGCTGACTCTCTGGCCAGGGTGTTTCCTGAAGGCCAGTCACTGTACTTTCCATCTTGTGTTCTGAAAGAATGGAGAGAGGTGTTAATGCATACACTGACACATGTCAAATATGAAGAGCATGTGG